TCTTGCAAACATGGGATGATTCAACCCAAATTAGTGCTAACTTCCCCCCCCCCCCTTACAACGTGACGGACATGTGCGCTATACCAGAAGCAACTACGGTAGTACTATTATTATAAGCAACCCCCCCCCCCCCAACAAAACAAAAAGCCTGTCATCCTCTAAGTCCAAGGCAAAAGGTACACCTTAAGTAGCTCAACCACAACTTTGGTGGCAAAATGAAAATATCATGCACAATAAAGAGGGAGGAATTTGTAGTGGACGTCTTCCCATACCATCAGCTTTATCTTTGTCTTTAAAGCAAATTAATTAAGAGCAGGCATGCGTTTATGAGCATAAAGCCGATTGTATAAGAAGCCGCTCCAGCCTATGCTAGGTTGACCCCCCCCCCCCCCCCCCCCCATCCATTAGTACCTCAACAACATGCTAAAAGCTCTCCACGTCAAACTCCTACTTAGACATCAGCCACTGGGCCTGGGAGTGCTAGTGATGGTCCTCTCAGCCGGCTATTCTACTGGTAAAACCGGGAAGAAACATGAAATGTATTTGCTTCATTTTTCTGCATTTGCTGAAATTAAGCCACTTCATCTCAATTCTCATGGTTGGATTTCCCTTTAAATTATTAGCAAGCACAAAATTGTTTATTCATTCAAGCATACCTGGCTTTACTATGCAAGTCTCAGTCTCGTATTTATAACATGAACATGGAAAGAGCTTACGAGGGGGTCATGTAACATTTAAATCTAGTACTAGGAGTACGTAAGTACTAACGTAGTAGATCTAGACTCTAGGCTCGCGCTCGAGCCTAGACTCAACTCCTACGTCGCATTTGCCATTTTATGATTTGGCATTGTCATATCAACATTGACATTGAATTTTAACCAAAATGTGCCCTTGGCTAATTGGGCCTTGCCTTGGAGGCTTGGTCTGGTACTGCTTAATCAGTTAACATAGTTAATGTAAAATTATTATTAATGATATCTCCCCTGCCCGGCCCTGGCATGGGCTTCACTCTTCAGCGAATTCGCCTTGTGACTCGTGACATTGTTGTTATTGCATGTAACTGCTCCTGCACTTATACATGTTCAAGCTTATCTAAGATACTGTGTTACTTAATACTTAGTAGCACTCTGTTGATAGTACTAGTATAGAAGTAGGCGAGTACTAGTATAGAAGTAGGCGAGTACTACGTACTACTAGATCTGCATACTAGTAGACCGACAATACAACTCACGCAGAAAACAGTGCGTGGGACTGTAATGACCTATCTCGCCATTTCGTAACTTGATATCCGTTTAGAATATGAGTTTGTTTATACTGCTACAGACGATATTATTGAACGATGCATAACATTGTTTTAAAATAAGTGAAAATAATTACCTAGGGCTGTCAGATTCATCTAACAATTCCGCCAGAAGCACCGGCATCTGTGACAAAGGCTTCGCGGAGCCGGTTCGTGTACGATTATCAACAGCAGACTACATTTGCGCGTAAGAGGCCACTTCGTGAAAACGGTGTTTGCCAGTTGTACCGCTTGTGATACGTTTCGTGACGTCACGTATGACGTAATTAAGCAAGATTAGACTTTGAAAATTACTGAAGTTGTAGACATTTATATACATTGCTCAAAAACGGTCAAAACTCGAAATTAAAAATTTCAACGATTTTGGCCACTGAGGCCACTTCGTGAAAACGGTGACGTATTGCACGCTAGAGGGTTGCAGTAGAAGGAATATAATAAGTAACATTTTATACACAAATTATACAGTTTTTCTCATCAACCTTCAACAATGTTACCTAGTCACTTTAAGATAATGCACGGTCATACAAGGGTTCTCCATACATTCACGATGGGCAGGTCAGAACTATTTCTGAAATTTGGTTGTAGGCCATTGTGTATTGACTCAAACATAATTATCAATGGCCTGTCCAGGAGTGTTGCAGCATTACAACAACAAAAAACGCTTTATTTTTTGTTTCTCATTAAGTTTGATCTAATTATTTGGCCTAATATCGTTTCTTTTTCGTTGTTCTGCTTCTTCAAATTAGACGAGATAGCATATAGTTAAAGTTAATCATGATGAGTTACTTGCGAGCGAGCGAAGCGAGGAGGCAAAACTTTGGGACTATTATTTTATATCAATATCAGCTGGGTCATTAAGTAACATTTAAACTTTGTTATGATAACAAACTTTAACAAATATTTTTGACGTGCAACAGCAAACTATGCAAAGGGGGATTAAACTTGAGACAGATGCCGATGCAAGGGGTTCATTGAAGTTTCAATCCAGAAATAGAAGATATTGGTGAACTGGCCAGTTTCTGAAAAAAAATATCCTAAAGCGTGTGCATTGTTGCACAACATGCATTGATCTAATAAGGTCACGCTAATCAAATTGGCTTAAAAACTTAAATTGATTGATAAACGCTGTTAAAACTAATCAAACAAGATAAACAATGACAAAATATCTTAAATCACAACTCATTAGGCGCGGCCGGCCGGAAAATATCATAAAATATAATTGACAGCAGTGTTTTGTTGACAGCTGGCCATTAAAAATATAAATGGGCTAATTATGCAATTAACACATAAACTGTTTTAACACGGATAGATCCATGCACGGTGCTGTGTGATATTTTGAAATCTTAATTAGATATGGCAGTAATGCGTGAATACTGGAAACGGAAAGGCAAACAAGAGTATACCTTATGTAACAACAATGACTTCATGAACATCAACAGCAACGGTAAAAAAAAAATTGTCATAAAAAACAAGGCAACAATAACAGCGAAAAGAAGAAAAAAAATGAAAAAAAATAATCACATAGGCCTGTTATCAGGATTATTGTTTTCGCCTTTTAACGATTAGAAAAGAAGTCGTGTATCATAGTCCGATCATAGTAAACATCATGCTCCGCTAATCTTAGAGGCCTGACCAGGGGGTGTTTCACAGAGATCCTAAAAGTCGAACTTTACTCTAAGTTTGACTTAAACATTATGGAGAGCCATGTGTAGCCTTAAAACAGAATATATTTAAAAGTAAAAATTCAAGTGTTTTAGACTTTTCTTAAATACCACATCAAGAACATGAAATCTCCTCGATACTAGAAAATATGAATGATTTGAATCAACATTTTATAGTAGGAATATAAATCACACTTATCTGTATATCCAGGGGCGGATTATTTTTTATTTTTTTAGAAGGGGTTAGGGCAAGGGCACATGCATCCGACCTCTACTCCTTTTACATCCCAATGCGACATGCCTTAAGTACACAAGAAAAAGTGCCCCAAATTGTTTCACTTTTTGAGCCCATCTTTTAAGTTTGCACCCCTTCACTTACAAGATCTTTTTGCTAAAATCAGTCATAGTTTCTTGGAACTGTTCCCCCTATTTTTTTTGTTTTGTCGTTGTTTTTATTTTTAGTATAGAGTACTGAATTCGCCCGTGTTATAGGTTCACTTGCCCCCCCCCCCCGCCCTCCACATAATTATACTTGTATATATATATTGCTTCTTTCACTAACACAGTAGACCAAGAAAGGATTAAACATTATACCATACAATATTTTTCCTATATTCAATAACTTCTGCTTGTAGAAACTGAACGCATGATAACAATGTTTGTTTTTCCCCTTCGGTATTTTGAAACGCAGGCTACTCATGCAGCGGTCAGCCAAGAAGCATATTCAAGCCGAACCGGAAACAACTGATAGAGATTATTATCAGGGTCGGGATCAACAAAAGGGGGCGCATTTCACTTCGTAGGGAAAAAGGAGTTCACTCAAAGGGATTTAATGGATTAAACAACATGAATAGATAACAATCTAAGGCACAGCTCTTTTTATCACCCAAGAAGCGCATCTCGGACACTTATTGTTTTAGGGGGGAAATTCTATTCTTAAAATATTTTCTTTCAAGCCAGGATTAGAACAATGTAGTAAATCTCGTACACATTATATTCTTTTCGAGAAAAGCATTGTTCTTAAAATCTTTAATTTCATTGGACACATTGTTTGGAGAAAAGGAATACTCTTCAGGTACATGTATTTGCTTTCAATGATTTTCGGAAGCGAAAATACAAGTTCTTTGTTTTTCTTCTTCTGAGGAAGTATATCTCGAACACGCGAAGGTTTTGGAGAGAATATTTCGGGAAGTTCTTCATAAAATCCTTGTTGCGGTTAGAAGCACATTAGAGGCAGATTAACATTTATTATGTGGATAACCCAAATGTTTTTGCAGTGGCTTACCATGTAGAACATTGGGCAGAACCACGGTACCTACTATTTCGATTGCAGGTTCCCCAAATCAATGAAATAAGTAGTAGTTTTAGGGCCATAAAAGTGCTTCATATTGCACGACAATTTTCATAATAAGGAAGAGCATACCCCCCCCCTCCCGACCCCTTCCCCGACATAGGTACGCCGTAGCAAATACATTATCGCGCTTTAAAGTCCCACTGCACTACTTATAGCTACTTGCGCCCTCTATATAACAAACCATGCATAATCGGTGACCATCGGTCCCCCATAATCCTCTTTCAATTATTTTAATTGAGAGCTGATTTGATGAGATAACCACCTGTCCAGTGACCTTGCAGTGTGGTCTAACCCTCATGTACACTAGTACATATGGGCTTTAAAGGAGTTATAAAATAAACTGCCTGTGCCAAATTTGAAAACTTATCATCGCGCTAAACTTCCAAATCCATAACGCCAAATCTTTGCACACCAAAACTTTAAACATGAAATCTTTAAACACCAAAATTCTTATCTTGACTTATACGAATGAGTTGATGGTATTACGTATCAAATGATCTACCAAATTATTTAGATCATGTATAAAAGTTTGTAGTTATTCCTTTTGAAAATTACACTTCGTAACGAAACAACTTTTCTAGTCAATGGAATATCACTCCCAATATTTTCCCGATGAATAAACTTTATCACGATAACATTAAATCACAATATTTTGTTTTCCTTTTAATTCTTATTATTCAGAGAACTCCAGACCAGTGATACCATGGAACTACAGAGCAGACAAAGGTAAATTATACCCCCAAAAAGCATCTCTTTTTGTCGAAGATTTCACAATAAAATAAACAAATCCTGTTTATTTTGGCTTTAGTGTCTATATATTACAGCGAATATGAATTGTATACCTCATTAAGTTTGAATACAATGTTAAAACTGAATTTAGATGTCAGTTTGAAGAACCTGAAAACTCAAAAATTAATGTTCTGAGTAAAATGTATGACATATAATCTTGATATTGATTAGAAATCAGATATTTCTAACGCATTTAAAGTAATACAAACATTTGGGGAATATCACTCTCACTTTTAAAGGGAAAACGTTTTTGAAAACGTGTTAAAACGTCTCATTATACAAGACTGCATATATAGGTCTGTTGACTCCCCTTTGATTACAACTTAGTACTTGCTATTGAGGAAAGAAAATGAGGCCAGTAATATAGGCTGCCAAATATTATGATGAAAGGCCTCAGCCTTCGTCTGTTAGTGTGAGTCACATAGTCATTTACAGTCAGACGATAAGTCTGTATGCTAATGAGCCAAGATGCAAGATTCATCCACATTCTCTCGTAGCTAAATCTCGGATACTGTAAAATCTCGTTGACAGTGAGATTTTTCTTTATGGAAGAAAAAGGGGTGAAGCTTTTCTTCACACACCTAATCGGAGATGAAGGTAGCCCATCCAATGTGTAAAAATTGCCAATTTGATAAGTGTAAGGATCGCATTGTACACATACAACCGCTATACTACACACACGCAATATATTCTTTGTGTATTGTATCCGCCAGGCATGATCAGTGCAACGATGGCTGGCTACCAATTAAAATGGGCATGGTGATCGGATAAAATGAGAGTAGAGTAGAGTAGATGATCTCCGAAAAAGCGGAGGAAGAACAAGAAGAAGAAGATGGAGGGGGGGGGGGGGGGGGGGGGGGGGGGGGGGTAAAGCGCAGTACTTAGGGGCAAATCAAAGAATTATACTATGACCTCACCTCATGTATGTTAGAAATTAAAAAGTTATTATCTTCTTTTGAATTGCAATATATCCCCGCACCATAATTATAAGTCATGCATGAATGTTATTTGTCATATGTTATATATTTGAAAGGTGGTACACGCAGAAACTATTCACCATTATGTTACTGTCATGTACATATTTTCTATGGATATAATTTTCACGATCTCAACTCTTTACCACATCAGCGTCATGATGGATAAAGTGGAATATTTATTCTTCACCACCCTATACGCTAACTGTTCACCACCCTAGCGTCATATACATTATCTATGGATAACCTGGAGTATTCTTCACCGCCATACGCTAACTTTTCACCACCCTAGCGCCATGTACAGTGTCTATGGATAAACTGGAATATTAATTCTTCACCACCCTACGCTAACTTTTCACCACCCAAGCGTCATGTAACATTGTCTATGGATAAACTGGAATATTAACTCTTCACCACCCTACGCTAACTTTTCACCACCCTAGCGTCATGTACATTGTCTATGGATAAATGGTAATATTAACTCTTCACCACCCTACGCTAACTTTTCACCACCCAAGCGTCATGTAACATTGTCTATGGATAAACTGGAATATTAATTTTTCACCACCATACGCTAACTTTTCACCACCCTAGCGTCATGTACATTGTCTATGGATAAACTGCACTATTAATTTTTCACCACCCTACGCTAACTTTTCACCACCCTATAGCGCCATGTACATTGTCTATAAACTGGAATATTAACTCTTTACCGTGTTAGTTTGTGTTAGTTATGCCTATGCCTTCACGGTGACCATATGGTAGGAATACTCCCCAGCAGAGGCCGCCCTCCTGTGGGGGGGGGGGGGGGGGGGGAGTAGGGGCACAGTGCCCCCCCCCCCCACTTTTTCAAGCACCCGAAAAGTGCCCCTTTTTACATAGGAATAGTGCTCCTTTTACTCTGATAAGTGCCCCTTTTATTTTGACACGTGCCCCTTTTCCTTCGAAAAGTTCCCATTTTCCATTACAATAAGTGTCCATTTTCCATTCTCGTAAGTGCCCTCTTTAATCTCTAGTACTAGGGTAGGTGTGGGGAATTGGAGACCCTTAAGCACATTTTCATAATTTACATAAACATGAACAATTTTACACATACAGAAAGTTTTGTTTTCTCTTTAGTAACTTCTTCTCTTTATTGGGAAACGAAATTGTGGTCATGATGTAACTGATTAATAAGATAAAAAATAATTTATGACGTCATCACCAAAGGTCTCTCATTACCAACATGCGTAGGTAATAAGGAACAGTTACAAATCAAGACATTTCAAATCAAGACATCAAGACAAAAATGGGATTGTTATAGTTAGTTCAAACACTTTTTGAAAGAGATACATGCAGCCAATGAACTTACTGTAATTTTGAAACGATTTTGAAAGAAGAAATTAATCCCATGTTATCCGCTTGTTATGCTTTATAATTCATTGATATTACAGTATATAACATATTGCAATTTAGTATGGGCAACCAGAGCCAAAATCAAAATCAACTCTATTTATTTATTGCAAAAGAAAGCCCTTCGTATTATGTACTGGTTCACCATTATTTATCTCACACAAGTTCAATATTTTACAAACTGAAAACCCTTACAGTATTCGACATAATTTCGCTACAATGTTTACTGATCATGTTTAAGTATTTAAAAAATATGCTCCCTCTTTCATTTCAAAACTTTTACACTATGATTAAAGCTATTCACTCTTACCCTACTCGTAATTCCTCAAATTTTCATCTAGTATACCCGAAATAAATCCATAAGACACCATGGTCCTGACCTATGGAACTTTCTCCCAGAATCTATTAAATCATGTTGCTCCCTCTCAGAGCCGTAGCCAGAGTTTGATGTTTAGGGGGGGGGGGGGGGGGGGGACATACATGTAATTGATCGACGTTCTGGGGAGGGGTCTAAACAATTTCAATTTTGGGGGGCACGTGCCCCCCCCCCCCCCCGTGGCTACGGGCCTGCTCACTCTGCTCATTTAAGGCCAAAGTTAAAACGATGTTCTTATCAGAATACTCAAGGTAGAATTTCTGTGTCAACTCTTTATTGTTTATCATGTCATCTCTTCTTTCATTCGAATCATTATCATCTTCATCATCATCATCATCTTCATCATCATCATCATCCTCATCTGCATTGTCAATATCACCATCATCGAAATTTGTATTTTCAATTACCTATCCGTATCTGCTTAATATGTGTTAATATATTCATGAGTTTTTGTCTGGGGTTGTCGTTTTATCAAGCAATCTGCTTACAATGACAGTCCTTCTTCCGCAAATAATTGTTTAATGTTTTATACTGTTTGAGGAAACTTTAAGTTTCCTCAAACATTATAAAACAAATACTAAGTTAGTATTTATGACATTTTATATATATATATATATATATATATATATGTGTGTGTGTATTTGCTAATTTATGATTCATTGTCAGAAAAATACTTATTGTACTTTATATTATTATTGTTATCGAAAAGCTGAATGATTACACGAATGCAGAAGAAAATATAATCAAATCAAAATATACTTATGTTAATTATCTAAGGTCTTTTCAGTCTTCCGTTATGAAAATGTACTTATAACCCTATCAGGATTGGGTTTTTTCCTCTTTATAAGATGTAATTTTTCGCACTGCGACCTCACAAATCTTAACACTTTTCCTCGCTCGCAAATAAATGTTCAGACCATCACACCCAACTGCAAAGCATGATGCATTATGCAATATCTTGTATGGTGTATAAAGTGAAACAAATATTGAAATCATCCCTGATAATGTAAACATTATATACCGAAGTCTAAACAGTGTCTATTTTCTCTTTGAGATTTCCCTTTGTAGCCTAGGTGCCTTTTTTCTTCAGAAAGTGTCCTTTTTTCTTGGTGCCCCGCCCCCCCCCACTTTCGAAGTCGCTCGGCCGCCCCTTTTCCCCAGTGAGTGGAGACTACAAACTTGCGATTGATTGGAGGACTTACGATTGATTTGGATCAATCGTAACTCTATAAGACGGGGACAAGCTCTCATGAAAATCTCACAATAATACACATCTGAAGTTTGAAAACAATATTAAGACTGCGGACACCAGAATATTTCGAAAACTAATAAACATTTATTGAGAAATTACAGGAAATGCCAATGCATACATGACTTTTTTTTCCTTTCAATTCTATTTTCTCTTCTTCGTTCTCGTAGACATAGCCTCTACGGTAATACATGGCAACATTAGAATAAAGAATCAGTACTAGTACTATATAGATCAGGCGCGCCGGAAACAGTTTGGGATGGGGGGGGGGGGGGGTGGCAAACATTCCAGGGGGCTCGCTTTCCAGGGGCAGTGACGTAATGAGTAAAAAAAACGTTCGGAAGGGGGGGGGGGGGGCAGACGAAAAAATCTGCATCACCACCAGTCTTACATGTTACATGCAGCTCCCGCGGAACGTTTTTCAAAGTGGAGTATTAACGATCAGGTAGAGCGTAAATTGGCGTAGGGTCCAGGGCATGAGTCTCGGTAGGGGGGTCAAGGGGCTGAGCCCCCGGAAGCTCAGGGGTTTTAGGTATTAAATTACGGTTAGATGAGCATCCAGGGGCCCTCTTTAAGGCCATTGACGTGTTCCAGGTGGGGAGCCCCCAGAAGCCCAGAGGTTTTAATATTTAACTACAGTCAGATGAGCATCGAGGGGCCCGCCCTATAGTGGGTCCAGGGGGCAGAGCCCCCGGAAGCTCAGGGGCTTAGGTATTTAATTACGGTCAGATGAGCATCCAGGAGCCCGCCTTAGGGACATTGGTGGGGTCTAGGGGGCATAACCCCCGAAAGCTCGGGGTTTTTAGGTATTTAATTACGGTCAGATGAGCATCCAAAGGACAGAGCCCCCGGAAGCTCAGGGGTTTTAGGTATATTACGGTCAGATGAGCATCAAGGGGGCCGCCTTAAGGCCCTTGGTGGGGTTCGGGGCGGAGCCCCCTTAAGC